CCTGAGCTTTCAGGAACTTGGGGCAGGAACACTCTTCCACAGAGGGGACTGAGCCCAGCTTGAAGGGTGTGGTGAAGCAGCTAAGGGCCGAAGCCTGCAGTGTGACTCCAGGGACCTCCACTGGCTGCTCTGGTCCCTCTCCAGTCCTGGAGGGGCCGTGTCACTTGGTGCTGGGACTTCTTGCTCTGACTACTCACTCATCCTGAATAATAGAGAGTAAAGAAGCCCCGGGGGCCCCTCCCAGATGACCTCTAGTCTGGGATGTTGCTCAGATAATGGGGACCGCTTCCAAGGTCCCAAATGTTCCCATCTCAAAGATCTCCTTGTAGGGAGAGGGCTCATGTATTCTGGAAGATGTGACCAGGCTCATTTGAACTCTGGCACAGTGTTTCAGGGAGCCAGTTGCTATGCCCAGCTCTCTAAGGAGGAGGAGGTGGCATCACCTGCCAGTCCTGCCCTGAGATGCCCCAAGGAGGGCAGCTGTCTTCCCCTCTCTGGGAACCCTACCTCATGGGCTAAGCTGGTGAGGAGATGCCTGGCCTGAATAAGCGTCCAATCCACAACTTCTGAAACCTGGTGACCAGACCTCCCCCTCCCCCACTGCCACCGTGGAGTCTGTCTGTAACTAACAACTCTTTGGACCAATTTGTGGTGACAGCTGACTCTTGGGTGCAAGGAGAGTCCTGACTTGGGAGTCGAGGGGTTTATTCCTGCCTCTGCCATTAACCAGTCTAACCTATGTCCTGGAGCAGGCCAGTGTTGATCTAGAGTGGGCGGAACCAGCCTCCAGGTGTCTGGACAGCATACTGGCAAGGCAGGTGGATGCGACCCACACCTGGGTCCTGAAGCCTGGCTCTGCTGCTTGCTGATGTGCCAGCCTGTGTGAGATGTAATTTCCCTAAACGTGGTCTTCTCCGTGAAGCAAGGATGATAACACCTCCCTCCAAGGCCGCCTGGAGGATTGGCACACAGTGCAGAGGCAGAGCCAGGCACGCTGGGGGAGAGTAATCGCTTTTATTCCCCACCTCCATCTTCCCAGATGTCATATCTATAACGTTGGGCTGGGAAGAGGCAGCACTGAACTTTGTAATATCCTGTCCCGAGACTCTAGGTGATGCCACTTTACCATGTGAGCCGTGAAGGTCCTCAGTCCTGAGCAGTTCTCACAGGGAAAGTGGGATACCAGCGAGGTCAAGCTTAAAGGTCAAAGCCAGAGAGGAGGTTGGGACTGTGTGTGTCTACAGCCTGAGCAGTGGCTTTTCTCTCTCACATGGCTTCGCAGAGAACTGCTGCCCAGCCCTCCTCTGTGGCACCACAGACAGATTGTTCCAGTGGCCGGGTACACCTCTGGGCTGTTTGCTGAAGTTCCTGCTGTGACTTCCATACACCCTGCTCCTCACCCCAGGCTCTGTCCTATGCCCCATGAAATGAAGGATTATCTCAGTCCCTACCCCAAGGCTGCACCCAAGTGGCTTAGTACCTGATCATGCCTGTTATTAAATATTCTGACTCTCATCCTGATATCCAAGCTCAGCTAAGGCAACCTGTTTCAGGAATGGGCTTGTCCAAAAATCCCTGAAGTACTGATCCTTACCACACAAGGGGCTCCATAAACTTGGGTTCCACAATCGCACTGGTTTCTGGACCCCATCTGCATGTGCATAGACCTTGTGCTGGGCTCTAGGGAAGCTGTCTATTATAGACCAGTTACCTCGGGGCCATGAATTTTTGGTCATATCTAGCACCAGTCCTATGGAGCTGTTTTATGAGGATCAAAATGTACACATTCTTTCTGAGCCAAGACCATTTTTCTTGAAATATACCTGGGTCTAGAACTAATTACCCATGGTCCTACTTCCTTCCTCCCAGCACGATCCTCTGCAGTCTCTTCAAAACCCTTCCAGGCTCTGTCTCTATTGGCAAAATGTCAGCGTACTTTTTGGAGTACTTCAAAACTGGTCTCCCCTGAAAATTGCTGAGAAAGTGTGATCTAGGGCTCAGGGGAGGCCACAAAGGAGGCCTCTGTGCAAGCTAGAAAATAAGAACTTTCTCAAGGACCCTGATGCTATGGCACGCTCTGGGTGTCCAAAAAAGACAGTGATCATGGAAGGTGTCAGTAGAGATGCAGGTAACAGAAGCAGAGGCGGCAGGACTACCAGTTTGGGGCTTACTTGGGGGCTTTAGAGGCATTCTTGGTGGGAAAAAAAGGCTGTCAAGAACACTGGTTCTAAGAGATAGAGATCAAGGGAGAGGAGAAGAGAGGGCAAGTGACATCTCTCTTCATGTTTGCTAAGGGTCACTTAAGTAAGATGAGCAGACAGCAGTGTTTCTGAGCACAGGTTTGAGAACTAGAGTTCAATTCAAACTCAGGTTCCTCTGATTCTGTGAAAGGACTGAACCCCAGATTCTCCATCCATAAAGTGAGGCTGATAGTAACTGCTTCACGGCATAGTTGTAAGGATTAAGCAAGATAATCTTCGGAGCATATATACACAGCACATGCCACATGGGAGACCCCCAGTGGGTGACTGCTGACGTTGCCTGTGTTGTTGCAGAGTTAGAGCAGGAAAAAATGATGCATCCCATTGGAGGTATGGAGGTTCAGTGACAAGGCAGAACGTTTCCCAGGAGGCAGGAGACCTTGAATGAAGTTGCCGGGAAAGCTATGCATACTCCTTCCCTTCTAGAGCAGACCCTAAAGGAATCATGCTGGGCCTCTGGCAGCCCCTCCTGAAGACAGAGAAAGGCCATGATGGCTGAGAAGACCCGGGCCTTGGGCTCAGAGTCCTGCTGCATTAGGGATGTCCCCAAGGACAGACCTTCGCTTGGGCTGAGACTTTTCACCTCCCGCTGGGATTCCAGGTGCCCCCTGAGAAAGTGGGCAATAGGACCTGGTTTGCCAGGGCTGTGCTCCTGCTGAAAGGTGATTCCTGCCTCCTCACCAGGCCATATCAGGGCCCACTCTGCCCAGGTAGGAAGTGAGAGATGAAGAGCCCAGAGGGTCCTAGACTAGGACCTAGTCTAGAGGGTCTTGCCTAGCTTACAGGGTTCTGCCAAAGGCCGTAGGCATATGTCCAGAGCCAGAAGACAAACCAGGTGTATGGCCTTGGCCCATGTCACAACCCTCATAACAGAATGCTGTTAGAACAAGTTGTTGAGTGTGAATTACAGCCCAGAGTTAACCCACAAAAGGAATCCTTGGGCTGTGTGCAACCATCAGCCTGATGGTTGTTTGGGTGTTAGGCAGTTATTGGTGAGATGAGGGGAAGAGACCCAGACAGTTACATGTCTATCTCAGGGACAATATAACTTAGCAGTCCCACAAATCTCTGTCTATTGCTGCTGGTTAAAACCAAGCCCCACAAAAGTCTGGAGGGACAGACAGCAAAGTAATAATGATTATCTCTGAGTGGTGGGATTATGGGCACTCTTTCTTCTACCTTTAAGTTTTTCTGCAAACTTTGGTACTATTTAAACAGAGCAAAATTGCATTTCTGAATAAAGCACAAAGTGGTTCTAGCTTCACAGAGCTCCTACAGTGTGCTGGCAGGCACACTGGCACCAGAAGAGTCAGTGGCATCTATGCAGGCTCGGGTTAGGAGTGGACAGTGACAGAAATGCTTTGCAATTGCCAGATAAAGAGGAGCTGGTGAGGCAGGGAGAGGTGGTTTCAGGAATCTGGCAGGCACAAAGTAACAGGGCCCAGGGAAGACAAAATTGGGCCAAGGAAAGGTGGTGAGTGGGGCTTATGAGAGCCACTCCCACTGTACCCACTGTGGGCCTAAGGAAGGGTGGAGCTTACTTGAGGGCTATAGCTTGAGATGATGGCAGGGTTCTCAGGACATGATCAGAACAAAAAGAGGAGCAGGACTCCGGGTATGTCAGCACACCCAGCCGTTAGGACAACACTATGGGAGAGGAAGGGTCTCAGGGGTTAGCAATACCAGCAGAGGCATCTGATAGGAATCAGTCATCAGATTGAGGGTTACTTACGCTCTTGGCATCATGAAAGAGAAGCCATTGCAGAACAGCCAGTCTTCACAAGGGTCAATTGCAAGATGCAGTGAAGAAGAAAGGGGCATTGTTCACTGGGACAGAGAAATTCAGGACCAGAATGACTGGGGAAGGTGCAGATCCTGGGCTGGAGCTAAGCACCAGGGTCGTGGTAGTGGGTACCTGGCCTGAGGACCCTAGTGAGTAGGTATCTGTCACCCCTCCAGCCACACTATGCCTGCCTGAGCAAGATGCCATCTTGGGCAAGCAAGAAAGCGCTCTCTCCCTCCCTCCTCCCCTCCCTCCCTCCTTCTCTCTCTCTCTCTCTCTCTCTCTGTTATTCAGTGGAGAAGAAGAGTGAGAATACCTCAGGACTCCCTGTTGTTAGTATTCCCTCTGGTACTTGGGCCAGAACATTCATCCATTTATTCACTCATTTAATGAACATTGATTGAGCATCTGTATATCGGCGGAGGTGTGACGATAAAAACTAGAAGCGTCCCAGGCTTAGGAGCTTCCAGAATCTTCCAGGAAGGAAAGAAGACAGATACCCAAGCAAACTACAAGAGAGCATAGAGGTTGCTGTAATGCAAGTGAGCAGGGAGGTATGCATGGTGGGTATATTGTTCAGCTTTCCGTTGCTGGGACAAAAATTCTGAATAAACAATTTAGAAGAAAAAGGATTTATTTTAGCTCACAGTTTCAGAGGTTTCGGTCCATGGTCAGCTGACTTCAAGGCAGAAACATCATGGAGGAAGTGCATGTGGAGGAAAGCTGCCCACTCAGGGTAGCTGGGAAGCAGAGGCCAAGGGAGAAGCCAGAGAACAGACCAGATATAGTCCTCAAGCTTGTCCCCTGTGACCTACCCATACACACTAGAGTGTTTTGCTAATCTAGATGTCTCTCAAGCCATTAAGTTGACAATCAAGATTAACCATCACAGTTGGAGTCTCCTCGGGGGCACCGGCCTTTGGGTGATGCTTGAACCCTGTCCTCTCAATCCACAGGAGGGGCTGTCACCATGCCACCTGTTGACGGTGAGGGTCATCCGGATGAAAAACGTCCGGCAGGCTGATATATGTGAGTATCCTCACGTCTCTTCTCTCCTTCTCTGCTTGTGGGGCCTGGATGAGAAGAAACCCTGGATGGAGAAATGGTCAGGCGCGCGCAAGTGTGTGTGTGTGTGTGTGTGTGTGTGTGTGTGTGTGTGTGTGTACACGCATGTGGGAACACATATACACTCTCCACTATGATTGCATTGCATACTTCAAGGTTCACGTTATTTTCAACGGTCCTCCCTCTTACCATTACCTGGATACCGCTAGCCTTGCGAGTCCATGCCTACAACTGTCCCCCTGCTTTTCCCTCCCCACTTTCTCCTCCTCCTCATATCCATTTCCTGAAGCACCAGCTTCCCACACTCCTTGATCTTCCGCAAGTTTAGGGGAGAACCCATGATGTGAGGGTGAAATAAGAGATATCTTTGGGCATGTTGGGGTCAGCTACCAGACCTTCCCAGAGCCCTTTCTCAGTACAGGGATCCCAAGGTGGGTTGGGAACAGGGTGGGTGGGCGGGCATGCCTCCACAGCACAGAGCTCTGCAGTCCAGCCTCCTGGATGTTCAGGGACTTACCAGGCTGCTAGGCAGGGTTTCCCCTCTCCTTCCCCTTCATCCTAGTGCATGGCCAAGGGGGTTCTGCCTCAGGAAAAGATGAAGGAATCAGAGTAGGTGGGAAACCCCTCCACCTGAGATCAGCCTTCCCCAGGCTGCCCTCGCCTTGTCCCATCCACAGAGGAGGTGTGGTCCCTGAGGGAAGAAAGCTCTGTGTCCCTATCTGTGGCTGTGAGGCTGTCCCCACTCACTATGACCACACAGGAATGGCTCAAGGTCCACAGGATTCCCCAGGGACTGGAGAGGGCCAGAGGGGATGGAGAAACACAGAGACACAGAGCCACGATCCTGAGCTCACTCTTTTCTCTCTCTCTTTTTTTCTTTTTCTATTACTTCGGATTGAACCCAGGGCCTTCACACTGAAGGCTGTTTTTATTTTTTTTATATTTTGAGATAAATTCTCACTGCATTCCCCAAATTGGACCCAAACAGGATCATCTCACCTCATTTTCCCAGAGGGCTGGGATTATAGGCATGTGCCGTCACACCCAGCTCTGAGCTTATATTTTAACAAGAGAGACACCCATGTCCAGAGCAGTTGCAGAAAATAGAGATGGCATTTCGACCTTGTCACTACAGAACTTAGAGCCACAGGACACAGAGCTAGGAAGGCCAAGAAAGGGACATGGGGGCCTGGGATCTGAGAGGGGCAGTGTGCAGGCTTCCAGAGACCCAGGAGCCTGGTGTGGGAGAGGCTGTTTTGAGAGAAGATCTGTCTCCTGAGCCACTGCTATGGGCTGGGTCCAAACACCATGATCTTCCTGAGAACCTACAGGGTAGTTGTGGGAGGTCCATTTTGCACACAAGGGGTTAGTGGTTGCCTAAGGTGGAAGCAGTGTTCGGTTCCAGGCTTGGACAGGTGGAGAGATGAGCCAGGCCAGGGGAAGGAGGCTGAGACGGTGGAGAGGCCCGAGGCCAGGCAGAAGAGCCATCTGATGGTCTCTAAGTGTGGCTGCCTGAGTTCCCAAAGAAGGGATTGCATGACTTCCTGGGGCAGACAGTGCTGATGCACAGTGGCAGAGGCTGAGAGCTTGCGAAGTGGGGTGAGTGTGGAGGGTGGGGTGTGCGCAGAGCCCTGCATTCCCAGGCAGTGAGGGACCGAGCAGGATTCACACTGAGCCCGGGGTAGAGTGTCCAGGGCTCGTGCACACACCTCAAGCTTTGGCTTGTGTCACATAGTGGCTAGTCAGAGGGCCAGGAACCTTTCCTCAGGCTCCTTGGGGTTTTCTCAGCCTACCAATATGTGAGCCGAGGAGCCAGAACTGTCCCTTGCTCCTGGGCTGTGCCCTTCCTAAGGTGTGTCACCCGCTTACTACACCCCATCTTGGGTAAAGATTGCCCCTCCCCTGGGGAACAGCCCCAGCTCCACAGGCCCTCTGCCAGCTCCTCCTGAGGTGTGTCCATCCAGCCCCTAGAGCCACCTCGCCACGGGCGCTCACTCTGCATGCCTACACTTGCGCACCACACCTTCCCAGGGTCCTGTGCCCTTCCTTCTGCTTCTCCCTGCTCCACCTGTCCCGCAGAAAGTGGCAGGAGAGCCGCAGTCTGGCCCTACCAGGCTCCTCCTCGCCTCCCCCGACGCCCTCCGGTATGCAGCTGCCTTTGAGGGTCTTTGGGAACCTCCTTGTTATTTACGTTTTCCTCACTCCCCAAGGACCTAGAGGGCATTTGTGGCATCCGGGGTGCCAGTCCCCATCACATCGGGTGTTGACTCAGGGGGCAAGGCCTGGGCCATTTTGCTACCTTCCCTGGTTAGGTTGAGACTATCCCATTAGCTTTTTGGTCCTGGGTCACTCTTGCTCAAGACTGTTCCTTTCTAGCTTGAATCCAAAGTGATCTGCTCTCCAGTTTAGGCCTGTAACCTGTCTATAGCCATGTTTCCCAAGATTTTGGAGAGGCTAATGGCAGAGAGTACACAGAGCTTCAGGGATGAGCCCTTTGCCAAGAACTAAAAAAGCACATGAGCCAGCCCTGGGCCAGGAGTGGGAGACAGATCCAGAAACCTCCAGCCATCAAGAATTCTTATTGCTCTCGAAAACGCTAATTAAAACCCAGACCAGCACCTCAAGGAACATCAAGTAGGTGTCTCCATAGGTACTGGGGAGATGTGTCCTGAACATCCGAAAGATGATTGAGTCATCCCCGAAACCCACAATCCAAAACAGAGTACATGTCATTCTTATGACCAAGCCCTCTGTCACTCCATGGGAAATGAATACAAGAACCTGGAAATCCAGGAAATCCCAGAAACCAGGAAATCCCCAAGGTCCTAGAAATTCTCCGATTGGGTCACAACTGCTTTATCATTCCTCATGGCCAAAGCCATGGCCACTATCCTTATAGCCAGCTATGAGGATAAAGATGCCTGCCCTAATTGTCATCCAAGCCCTGGCTGATCCTTTCCATCACCCACCTCCCCAGGATTCCTGTCTCCTTATTCCCAACATTTTGTGTGTTGAGAGGTAGGCAATATTCTGCAATATAATGAAAATCAATGTTGTTAGTGTGGATGGATGTCTAATTAATCGTGTCTCTTCTAGGAGTATTTTTATCTTAATAAGAATTTAATTAAGCCTTAGGGCAAAATCCTGAGATTTTATTTAATGGGAGAATTTTAGGTATGGACTGATAATAGGTGACTTTTACAGGCGTGAAGGCCTTCACAGGGTCTATTAAGTTATGCATGTGCAGCAGGCCTTAAAGCCAACAGGTATAGAGCTGGTTGGTCCTGGCCTGCAGGCTATCACCATATAAGAAGCAGATTTGAGATGAATATTCCAAGCCCAGCAGGAAGGACTTATGTACAGGAAAAACCAAGGGAGGGCTCCAAGAGGATGAGCAGGTCCCTGGTGCAGCTCCCTGTGGGGAGAGCAATTAGACATCCAGACCTGCTTACCTGGATCTGCAGTGACTCAGTAGAATTTCATGGGTACTGACATAACCCTACAGCAGGAAGTTGAGATATTCATTCATCCATCCATTTATTCATTCAAAGACATCTAGTGAGTGCTAAAAACACATAGCATCCTGCCCCAGCCCTCTGGTGCTCACACAGTGACGGAGAAGCTGGAGGGTACCTGCTGTCACAATGCTGAGTAATGAGAACATCCCCAGGACAGGAGCAGGGACTCAGGGCCAGGAGGCATCTGGCCCACAGCTTGGCCCCAGGGAAGGTTTCCAGAGGAGCTTCCTTCTGAAACTAGAGGGGCCATCCAGGAGAGGAGAGGGCAAAGGAGAAGAGAGGGGTGTCCCAGGCAGAAGGACCAGTTCATGCAAAGTCCTGAAGGCAGCACAGTCTGGCAGCTCTGGAGACCTGAGAGATTGCCTTTGGTGTGGTGTACAAGGGCATTGTGTGCGTGCATGTGAGTGTGAATGTGCAAGTGATAGGATGGGATGGGAGACAGGGAGCGCAGTTGGAAAATGGCCCCAGAGACAATGGTGGCCTGCTCCAAGACTGTGGCAGTGCAGATGAAGGGGGCAGGGTTGAGAGGTGAAGCTCGAAGAATTCAGTGTGAGAGCTGAGGGGTGCGCAGGTTTCTGGCTGGGTTTCCCATGCTCCAGCGAGATGAGCAGGTTGGGCACAATGGCCCAGCCCTCAAGTTGTTCGGAGTGGTGGGGATAGGCGGCAATGGGTGGGGAATCTTTTTCTTCTGATTCTGCTGAGCTTGGTCATTCTTTCTGCCTGGATTAGACGATTATTATGACACCTAAAGGACTGTGTTATCTCACCTTTATTCAATGGTTGCGCATTCCTATTCACCGAATGGTGAGCTCTCAAAAATCAGGAGTAAAATCAGAAGCCAGGAATGCCTGGTTACTTCGCCAGCTTTCAGAATGTGACAGTGTAGACTGAGTTGGTCCTGGGGGACAGTCCTGGCAATGCTCTTATTAATGATTATTAATAGTAATCAACTACTCTGGATCAATCCTATCAGTATGGAATGCCCATCCAAACCAGCTTTACCATCTAGACCCGGAAACTGCTGATTGTTACCATTCTCTACAACCTGGTGTGTACCCTGAGATTTACCTCAGCAGATTATTGAGAGACTGACAGACAGACCTGGCACTTTCTCCCTCTGCTGAGGCAGAACAGAGGAGCAAAGACGGGCTCCTACTCCTCCATATCCCTTCTGCTGCTCCAACCAGAAGACTCAGGAGGCTTCCTTGCTTCATCTCTTCCTTCCTTCCTTCCCTCCTCCTCCCCACCACTCTTCCTCTTTCCTCTTCTTCCTCTTCTTCTGCTTCACCCCATTTTCTTTCTCTTCTTTTTTCTCCCCTCCCTCTCTTCCTCCTCCTCTCCCTAGAATAGGGCCTTGCTATATTACCCAGGCTGGCCTAGAACTCACAGCCTTCCTTCAGCCTCCATAGCAGCCAGGAATATAGGCATATAACACCATGCCCACCTCCTTTCCATTTTGAAAATGTCTATTGGGGCCAAAGCCTTTGATCTTTCTTCAGGGCATATAGAACTTGAAAAAAAAAAAAGTACTTGGTAACAGGTATGAGGGTTGCCTTGTGCTGGGAGACCAGGGCAGGTGCGAAGAACCTAGCAGGGTGCCTGTGAGGCACTGAGCCCTGTGGGGATGGTGGCCTCTGCTGACAGCTTGTTTCCACGAGGGCCTCCATGCCCAGCTCACTGCAGGCTGTGCTCCCCTCACATCCCCTCATCTTCTCCTCAGCTCAGAGGAAGAGATGGGCCCTGATTTCATTTCCCTGGTGCTAAAGCAAGAAGTAAACCAGATGCTTTGGGCTGGTCTTCCAGATCTTGTCCTGACAGAGGGCAAATTATGTGGTCGTAGCTTGTCCCAAAGCAGTAGGAATTTGCTCAGAGCCTGGGGTGTCCCTGTGAATGGTCGGGGTCCTGATCCCCTCTGTGAAATGTGCAGCCTGCGGTCTGTGACCTTCTCGGGGCCTTAGGGCAAGAGCATCTGCAGAGCTGAGCCCTGAGGTGGGAGAGGCCCTGCAGCTGAGAGGACCTCGCTCTGGAAGACTTGTCTGAGCCTGCGCTCTCTGCTCTCTGAACTTGGGCCGGCTCCTCTCCCTCTCCTCAACCCTTGTCTTCCTCGGACAGTGAGCCAAACAGACTGCTTTGTGAGCCTCTGGCTGCCCACTGCCTCTCAGGAGAAACTGAGGACCAGGACCATCTCCAACTGCCCAAACCCAGAGTGGAATGAAACCTTCAGCTTCCACATCCAGAGCCAAGTGAAGGTGAGCACCGACCCAGCGCCTGTCCGCCCGCCTGTGGCTCTGCTCCCCCTCACCTGTGTGCCCCTCTCGTTCTTGCGGGTCCTTCTTTTGCCCGTTTGTTTTTCTTTCTACCTGCTTCTTCCCTCCCAGCCTGTATTCCTCCTCATCCAGGACTTCCCTCTGCTTACGTCATGTGTGTCCCTCTCCGAAGACAAACATGATCGCATCAGTGTCCATTTGTCCATGGGGGAATAGGCCTAACAGTCTATCCTCCTACCTTCTTTCTGATCCCTCTTGCCCTTCTATCGAATTGCTGGTTCTGGGTCTCTTGCCCCAGAACAGATTGTGTTTCCAGTACCCTTCAGAGCCTGTTCCAAGAAGGAGACTCACAGAGGGGAAGAACAATTCTTTTAACACATCCAAGCTTATTCTATTAACTACTGCAGTCAAAGGTTCATCTGTTTCCAATCAGAGAGTTTCTCTCTCTTAAATCCTTTTCTGACTATGTTATTTTTTCCAATTCCTCGAGTGTATGTTCTTTTGCTTGTTGAGTTGTTGTTATATGGTTTTAATCCTCTTCAGATATATGATAATTCTCCTGAGGGAGAATTCTCTCTTGAGTGTCCTATGGTGTGACGACCTCAGCAGAGCACCCTTAAGATAAATCAGGCCTCATGGTAGAGGCATCAAACCCAGTCTTCAGGCACTTGAAACCTCATGGCTCCAGATGACTACCTCCTTTTTAAAAAGAAATTAGTACACATTTGTAGTACATGTTTACATTCATTATGTGGAGTTGGTACATGTACATATCTTACTTCCTCTTTTCACACCTTAATTCCTTCTCTCCCTCTCTCCCCCTCTCTCCATCTCTTGATTCCCTTCCCTTTGAGATAGCTCTATCTCCCTGGTTCCTATTATCTATCTTTTATTTTCCTTTTGACTTAAAATTTGGGTTTCTCATGTGAGAGGAACCATGTGATATAAGCTTGTGTGTCTGGTTTATTTCACTTAACATTATGGTCTCAAGGTGCATCCATTTTCCTACAAATGATTCAAGTTTATCTTTCTTTATGGCACAGTAGTACTCCATTGTATGTAAATACATTTTCTTTATCCATTCATCTACTGTGGACATATAAGCTGCTTCTAAGAATTAGATATTATGAATCGTGCTGCTATAAACATAGATAGCCATGTATACCTGTAGTATAGTGTTTTTAATTCTTTTGGAAAGATACCTAGAAGGGTAATAGATGGGTCAAATGGAATTTCTAGTTTTAGTTTTTTTAGAAATTTCCATACTAATTTTCATAGTGTTGTACTAGTTTACATTCCCACCAAGAATGTACATGGGTTCCTCCCCACTGCAACCTCACCAGCATTTGTTATTATTTGATTTCTTGATGGTGGACATTCTGACATTCTGGGAGAAGATGGAATTTGTGTTATTTTAATTTGCTTTTCTCTAATGGCCAGTGATGTTGAGCATTTCTTCATGTATTTATTGGCCATTTGTACTTCTTCTTCCTTGAAGTATCTACTCATTTCATTTGCCTGTTTTTTATTGGGTCTTTTATTTTGGGGAGTCTATTTTTTCTGGGTTTTTCATATATTTGAGATATTAGTCCTCTCAGAGGAACAGCTGGCAAAAATTTTTTCCCCACTCTGCAGATAATCTTTTTTTTTTTTTTTTTTTTTTTGTAGTAGGAATCAAATTCAGGATCTTGCACTTGCCAGGCAGGTGCTGTGCCACTGAGCTATATCCCTGGACACTGCAGGTAGTCTTTTTACTCTATTGGTTGTTTCTTTTTCTGTACAGAAGCTTTTTAATTTGATATGATCCCATTTGTTGATTCTTGGAACTATTTCCTATGCAGTTGGAATTCTGTTCAGAAAGACTGCCTATGCATCTGACTTTAAGAGTTTTTCCTATTTTATTGTCCATCATGTTATTTCTGTTTTAACCTTTAGTCCTTTGATCCATTTTGATTTTAGTTTAGTACATGGTTAGAAATATGAGTAGAGCAATCTTCTACATGTGCAGAGCCAGTTTTCCCAGCAGTATTTATTAAAGAGGCTATCTTTCCTCCAGTGTGTGATTTCGGCCTCTTTGTCAAAGATAAAAATGTCAATATGCTTGGAGTTGTTCCTGGATATTCTATTCTGTTCCATTCATCCTTGCATCTGTTTTTATGCCAGTACCATGCTGTTTTTACACTATAGCTTTGTAATATAACTTCAAGTCCTGAATTGTGATGCCTCCTACTTTGCTTTTCTTACCCAAGATTGCTTTTACTATTCCAGATCTCTTATACTTCCACATGAATTTTAGGATTATTTTCCCCAGTTCTATGAAGAACGCTGTTGGTATTCTGGTTGGGATTGCATTAAATCTTTATACCATTCACGGAAGTTTGGCCATTTTGACTATATTGATTCTGCCTATCCAGGAACAGGGGATAGCTTTCCATTTTCTGACCTCCTCTTCAATTTCTATCTTAGGGTGTTGTAGTTTTTGATGTAGAAGTCTTTTATCTCTTTAGTTAGGTTAATTCCTAAGTATTTAATTTTTCTTGGTGCTATTATGAATGGTATTGGGGGTGGGTGGTTTCCGGTACCAGGAATCAAACTCACAACCTTGCACTTGCCAGGCAGGCACTGTGCTGCTGAGCTAAATCCCCAGCCCCTATGAATGGTATTTTTTACTAATTTCTTTCTCAGTAGGTTCATTATTATTAGTGTATGAGAATGCTATGCAGCCGGGCATGGTGGCACATGCCTGTAATCCCAACACTCGGGAGCTGAGGTTGGAGGATCATTGTAAGTTCGAGACCAGCCTGGGCTACAAAGTGAGCTCAAGGCCAGCCTGAACTACATAGTGAAACCCTGTCTCAAAAACACAAAAAACAAACAAACAAACAAAAAGAATGCTATAGATTTTTGTGTGTTGATTTTGTATCCTGCTGCATTCCTGAATTTTGGTTACTAATTCTAAGGGTGGGTTGTTTGTTTTTTGAGACAAGGTCTCACTATAGTAGTCCAGGCTGGCCCTTTAGTTTACTATGTAACCCAGACTGTTCTTAAACTTGCTGTGACCCTTCTGCCTCAACCTCCTAAGTGCTAAGATTACAGGTGTGTGCCACCATATCTGGCTTTAATCTGAGATTGAGTGGACTTTTTTGGTCTTCTATATAGAGGATGTGCAGATAATGATAATTTGACTTCTTTTCCTTTTTGGGAAGGCAGTGTAGGGTTGTTTTGTAGTTTGGGCTGACTTTGAACTCACTACATGGCCCAGGCTGACCTCAAACTTGCAGCAATTCTTCTGCCTCAGCCTCCCAAATACTGGAATTATAGGTATTCACCACCACACTGGCTCTTTTCCTATGCATATCCCTTTTATTTCTTTTCCTTGCCTAATTGCTCTTGCTAATGTTTAGAAGATTATGCTGAGGGCCAGGGATATAGCTCAGTGGCACAAGCTCCTGCCTAGCAAGCACAAGGTCCTGAGTTCAATTCCCAGTACCAAAAAAAAAAGAAGATTATGTTGAATAGGAGTGGTGATAGTTAACATCTCTGCCTTGTTCCTGATTTTAGCAGGAACACTTTCAGTTTTTTCCCATTTAATATGATGATGCCAGTAGGTTTGTCATAAATGGTTTTTATCAGATTGAGATAAAGTCCTTCTATATCTATTTTCTTCAGGGTTTATTTTTCATGAATGGATGTTATATTTTGTCAAAGGCTTTTTCTGTGTCTATTAAGATGATTATGTGACTTTTGTCCTTGCTTCTGTTTATATATGTGATGTGTTACATTTATTGATTTGCATAATCAAACCATCCTTACATCCCTGAAATGAAGCCTGCTTGTTCATGATGTATAATCTTTTTGATTATTCATTGAATTCTGTTTTCTAGTATCTTGTTGAGAATTTTTTCATCTATATTCCCTAAAAAGATTGCTGTATAGTTCTCTTTTTTGGTTGGATCGTTTTCTGGTTTTGAAATCAGAGTAATGATAGCTTTCAGGAATGACTGTGGGAGTACTCCTTGCCTTTCAATTTCATTAAAAAGCTTGAGAAATATTAGTGTTAGAACTTCCCTGAAATTTCCTTAGAACTCAGCAGTGACTCCATCTTGACCTAGGCTCTTATTAGTTGGTTAGATTTTTTATTACTGCTCCAATTTCATTGCCTGTTCAGGGATTTTAAATCTTGGTTTACTTTTGGTAATTCATATGTAGCTAAGAATCTATCCATTTCACATTTTTAAAGAATGCTTTTCCATTCCTAGTTTATGAAGAATGCTTTGTGTTTTCAAGGAGGACTTTATAGTTATTACTTTTTTTTGTGGTGCTGGGGATCAAACCCAGAGCCTTGTGCATGCAAGCTATAATTATTATTTTATAACTATATATATCCCATTGATAGTTATTATTTTATAATGATATAAAGTAATATAAATATTACTTTATAGTACTATAAAGTAATATTAATATTACTTTATAGTACTATAAAGTAATATATATTATTATATATATCATATATATGAGTTTGGTGATGAGAAAGATTTTCGTATAAGCTTAGTCTTTCTTTTTAAAATCAGAACTTGGTTTTTTTTCTGTCATAAGGATTATAGGACTGCTGGGTTTGCTATCAATCTTACCTGGGTTTCTAGTAATTATAAGGTCAACAGATCTCATCTGATTGGGAAGCCCCAGAACCACACTGAAGTCTACTAGACAGGGATCTAAGAGGTAATACTGGCCTCAACCCACACCTCCAATGATCCTTGGAATGAGAGGCCTCGGAGACTCGTCCAGGTAACCTGAGACCACTGAGTCCAGCCACTCGGCAGGGTAGCCGTGACTCTTGCATGACACACTGCTTTAGGACCATCCGTGTGACTATAGAAGCTGATAAGCCAAAGAATGGAGTTCTTACCACTCCCAATCCTACCAGTTGTGTGTCTTCCATTCCTCAGACCTACTTCCTTGCTAGGACTGAGGTCAGGCACTTGGTCCTGGGACTGGGTCACTGCAACCCTGATAACCAGACCTGCACCCTCTTTTCTCCCCTAGAACGTGCTAGAGCTGAGCATCTGCGATGAAGACACAGTCACACCCAACGACCATCTCTTGACAGTGCTCTATGACCTCTCCAAGCTCTGCTTCCGGAAGAAAGTCCATGTGAAGTTCCCATTCAGCCCAGAGGTAGGTGGACGAGCCCAGGCCCACAGCCCCCTGCCTCTTGAGGAGCAGCGGGTTATTCCCATGATGCCATCTCGTGGGCTCCTCCCCATATATCCACAGCCAAGCCAGTAGAAGATGGTGCTTCCTGTTTGAACCCCAGCACTCCCCATTACTAACCATGTGATGGAGGCTGGGAATATAAAGGAGTTTCCACTTCTCATCTATACAGTGATGATAGTAACATCCCCCCTGACTATTTTGAGGCTTAAGTGAGAAACACAGCTAAGGCACCCAGTGGTCTGTGCTCCTGACACAGAATGGAGATGTTCGTGCTGGTTCCCTTTCCTCTTTTTCTAGCCTTACAGTCCCGTTTCAAGGATGTCCCAGGGAAACGGTACCAATGAGGGTAAAGGGGGCACATCCACAAGTCAGAGAAGGTTGAGCTAAAGAGGTCCAGTCACTTAAGGGACTGCAGCGTGCTCTTCCTGCCCTGGGCACTCGTCAGGGGCAGGCATCCTTCCCCTCCCCTGTTCCTGTGGGGAAACTGAAGCCCTGGCTCGCCTCAGGCTTTAACAAGAGGTAGGAAGGACCACGTGAGGGAAGGGCCACCTACCCACCTTAGGAGGGCTCTGCTGATGTTCCCTTGCGGGAGCTCTGGGCATTCACGTGGGACAGACAGCAAGCATTCTGGGGCAGAGGGATGCACGCACTTGTGCCAGGGTCAGCTCCTCACCCTGGCCCTCTCTGATGTCAGTGCTGTCTCTGATCTCAAAGACTTGGGGACAGAGAGTGTAGAGGGGGCCAGGAGGTATCCCTTCTCCAGGGCAGCAGGGCCGCGGAGGGTGGGGAATGACAGCGCAGGTTCAGAGACAGCAGAAGGGCCTGGCTGGGAGAGGTGCGCACACACTGCTCACGGCCACCTTCCCTCCCTCCCCTGCCAGAGCTTGGAAGAGCTGGAGGTGGAGTTCCTGCTGGCAGAGAGGTGAGCAGACCCAGCCCCAGGATGGCCACAGTCCAGAGCTGCAAGTAGCTTTCTGCCTTTTCCTGCCCTCCCTTTCCTGTCTCACCCCCTACCCACTCGGAACCCTTGTTAGTGCCAGCTCCATTGGCAGGTGGGTGTGGGCCCCGCCACTGCTCCCCAAGTGCATCGCCATCAGCCTTGCTGTAAAGACCCAGTCCCCTGCATTCCTGAGGGCAGCTTCCAGGAAGAATTTCTGCCACAACAGTCTGGGGGCCTTCTTAAGGCCCAGCCGAGGAAAAAAATCAAAACCTTAGTTCTCTTGACCAAGAACTGTCAGAACAAACACACCCAAACCCTGGCCTAAGCAGCTGGACCCAGGTCAGCAGGGAGACCCTGGGCCAACAAGTAGGGTTTGGGGGCTGTGACTGTAGGGACACACACAGCTGAAGACAGGGGGAGAAGAGGGCAAAGAGAAAGAAGGGAGGAAGCAGGGGCCTGCCCAGAGGGGCAAGCCACACCCGGGAGGGCAGAATTCCTTGCGATGGGGCAGCCCATCCTCCTCTCTTCCTAACCCTGGCTGGCATGGGTCCCTGCGCTTGTGATCAGCCTGGGGGCAGGGGAGGGTGAGAGGCGTGAGATGGGACAGTAGGTTGATCAAGTTCCCCACTGGGAGCGTCCTCTGCCTGGGGGAACTGGGAACTATTTGAGGGACCTTCTTTCCTACCAACAGCTGGTTAGTGAATTAAAATCAGCTTTATTTCACATTGAAGAAAATCTCTCCTCCAATTCTTGGTTTGACAGGACCTTTGGGAAGAGCTTCCATGCCTGAATTAGAAAATGGCTTACAAAATGAAATACGTCAAAATTGATAATAAGAGTTGATCTGATGGCTGGGCGTGGTGGCATATGCCTGTAATCCCAGCACTTGGGAAGCTGAGGCAGGAGGATCACTGTGAGTTTGAGGTCAACTTGGGCTACAAAGTGAATTCAAGGCCAGCCTGAACTGCACAGTGAAACCCTGTTTCAAGAAGACAAAAAAAAAAAAAAAAGAGTTGATCTGAAGACACAGTCATCTTGGGCTTAATTTTGCAAGGAAGGCTATGGATCAGAAGCTAATTGTGAACTTGGATGTTGATTTTATAACACAAAGATGTCTAACATCTCCAAACTATTCTCTAGCTGGGTCAAAACTGTTAGATGCATGCAGTAGATAAATACAGAGGGGAGGCTGGATTTTTTATTTTTCATGCAAAACATTTATTCCAAGTGAATTATTATATGTAATAGTTTTTCCCCTCAACAGACTTGGGACAACCACATCTCTTTAACTCTGTAAATAATGTTATCAAAATAATCTTAGTCTTTGAAATCTCACAGAAATTTACATTTCACAATCTACCCTGAATATCAAGGCTGTAAGAATAACATATTTCCTATAGCCAAATATTTTTTAGCTGTGTCTACAAAAGGAAAAGAAAAAACAAAACCCTATAGCTTGGTTAAGGCCTAAAGTTACCCAAAGAACCTAAAATAAAAGAAGATAAAATAAAATAGATGTTAAATAAATAAAATGTTTACATCTGCCCTAGTTGGTGGGCGACAGCCCCTTTCTTGCAGCTTGTTAATCCTTATAACTATACACAGCTGCATCTAGTTGGATATAAAGAATAGTTATTCCTTAAAAAATAATGGGAGCTTTTCTGTGCCTTCTAACCCATAACTCTTATCTTCTTGTGGACACTCTACTTAAAATGCCAGTTTCCTCCTTTATCAACTACGAATCTAAGGTCTGTTAAGCTGATTTTTTTAGGATAGCCAAGAAGAGTCTGCTGTTTTATTATTGACCTTATTTATGTCATCTGCATGAGAAATCAATCAAGAATGGAGGAACTGAGGAGTTCTCCTTTTGTCTTTCAGCCCCTCTCCGCCGGAGACCCTCATCACCAATGGCGTGCTGGTGGTAATTTTCCTTCCCTGTAGCCGTAGAGGTCACATCTGGCTGCTGCTGCCAGAAGAGAGGACACTGGACCCGTGTGGGGCCTTGTCCTGTCCTGAACCCTGGAGGAGTTGGTCTAAATGACTCAGCTAAACAGGGGTGCAAGAAGGAATGGATAGCAGCCTGCAATCCTGCATCCAGGGAGAAGGGGATCACCCCGGGAGTGAAGGGAGAGGGTGGCTCAGGCATCACCCCGGCCCAGCACCCCAGATCCTCAGAAGATGACCCTTCCTCTTGAGGGTCTCCTAGTAAAAGAACCCACTAAGGGGAGCCTCCTCAGACTCAGTCCTGGCCCTGTCCCCCACAACCCCAATGCCTCTGCAAGCGGAACTGCAGTATTAAATATTTTCCCCTATTTCAGCCATTGGTACAGACATTTTAATCAAATATATCTAATGGCCCAAGGTTTAAGGAGACCTCTCTCTCAGTAAGCAGAGGCTTTTGGGGGGCAGAGGTGTAGCCCTGGGTTGGAGCCCCTGCCTGCCACACATGAGGTCCTGGGTTCCATCCCCAGCACTGCAAAAATCAAAATCAAAAACAAAAAAGGCAGAGGCTTTGGGAAATTGTTGTGAAAGAATGTGGCCTGCTTCTGCTTCTTGCAAAGACTACCTCATTCAAAGTCTTCACTTTTTTTTTAAGAGCAGAAAATATTTATTGAGGGAAAGAAAGCATCCATCTGAGAGAGGGACAGAAGGGGACCCGAGTGGGTTGCTCCGAAAGTCCTCACTTTTGAAGTGCAGAGAAGAACACTGCCCTGGTTAGATCCTAGCATGCCCCTTGGTAAGTTATGACCATGTGTCCTAGAGCTCACGGGACAGCCTCACTATCAGACGCCAAATATCTTGTCCCTGACCAGAGTCACGTATCTTAATTGGGGTCAGAAATGGGGGCAGCACAGCCAGCTTCAGTCTGAGGTCAGCCAACCCAGAATATAGCCCCTCCATCTTGGTTGCCTCCGTTTGGCTTGGAAGAGAGAGGAGTGGCTTGTGCTCTGCGTCCCAGTGACCCTCTCTGCTTTGTGACAGTCTCGCCAAGTCTCCTGCCTGGAGGTTCATGCGGAATCCAGAAGGCAGAGGAAGAGGAAGAAAAGTGAGCATCTCGGCTCCCTACCCTGCGGGGAGGAGGGAGGGCTGACTGCCTCCAAGCCCGGCATCATCTGCTGGCCTGGTCGCAGTCTGGAGGCAGAGGCTGGAAAGCGGGGGAAAACTTGGCCAAGACGCCCACCCTCAGGGTCCTGAACCTCTGTCCCCGCCAGCCTCCCTGGTGTCCTGGGTCTGGGACCCAGTGCTGCCCTCTACACACACCTGGCTGCTCTGTGCCCCTCTCAAGGCAGCTGTGGCCCTGTGGGTCCTTTTACCTGTGTCCCCTTCTCCGGCCAGCTCACCTTTCACAGAGTCCTGGTGACTTCTAGGTGGAAGGGAAGAAGAGATGTACAAACACTCCTCGCCGGCCCACCCCAGGCCCCTGCAGCCTCCAGCTTGTCCCAAGAAGATAGCAGTCAAGACAGAGGCCTCTGCCTCCAGACTGACGCTGGGATGAGCGGCCATGACTCCAGGACTGGTCTCGAGGACGCCCTCAGCAACCCAAAGGGCTTTCTGAGGACCTCACTGATCAGCAGTGGTGGCCAGCCTGGTTAAAATGCAGATTCTGGGCCCTGCCCTGCAGACAGAATGGGACTCTAAGGCACCATAACCAGGGCCAGGCCGTGTAGAAACCTCCTGGTCCCTCCACACAGGCTTTTTGCTGGGCCAAGTGGGGTGGGTAGAGAGAAGCTTCCCAGGAATCTCACCTTTGTTTTATTTCTCAGTGAAAGACCTGTTGGTGACGGTGACCGAATCCTTCGAGAACACCCAGCGCATCTCACCCCGCAGGGAGCCCTGCTGCCCAGACCCTGCCTCCTTCCACTACCCCAAGTTCTTCCAGCCCCGCTTGGACGTGGCTGTGCCTAAGAGCCACTGGGACTGTTTGGTACGCAGCACAGTGGCTGTGATGGCATGAGGGGAGGGAACTGGGCGGGAGGACGTTGTAGGGGTGCCCTCCCCATTCTTCCTACCCCCTCACCAAGCGCACCTGTGCTTCCAGCTTGGCTGCTGCAGGGCACACAAGAACGGTCCTGTCAGCCAGCCCCTCGACTGCCTTTCCGATGGCCAAGCTGCGATCCTGCCTGTGGTGAGGACCAGGGAAAGGGCTCCCAAGTGGCTCTGCCTGGAGCTCCTGTGGTTGGGAGAGCAGGCGAGCTCAGGGCACACAAGGGAAGGGGACATGTGAGGTCTCCCAGGAAGCACTGAGAGGTCTTGGGAGGCAGGTGGAGGAGCCACAGAACATGTGGAAGCCAAGTGAAGGTGGCGGGGAAGGTCGTGTGCAGGGGAGGAAGAGGGGTTGCAGTGCGCGTGCGTCCTGAGTCAGGTCAGGTGGGCTGCATGGTCGGTCTCCCCCTCTTTGGTTGGGATCACTTGGCTCTGAATTGTTATCCGTGACAAGTTGTTCATCTTTCTATCCTCAGGGTGAGAACTATGAATTACACATGAAGTCCACGCCCTGGTAAAGTACCCCTTCTGTCCTTCCTCTAGCTTGTCCATACCGACCGGTGCAAAGCAATATCTCTGTGGTTTCCATTTGCATTTCCCTGGTGGCTAGCGGTGGTGAGCATCTTTCATGGCTAATCGGCCATTTGTATACCTCGCCAGTGATGTGTCTATTCAAACTCTTTGCCTGCTTGCCTTAAGGTGTAAAAGTTTGCTCTATATGCTGGGTACAAATCCCTTATAAGATACCTGAGTTGCAAATATTTTCTCCTATTTCTGTGTACATATTTTTGCATCATATTTTTGTGTTCTTGATGGTGTCCTTTTGATGGAGCCTATTAATTTCTCCATCGCTTGTGTTTTTGGTGTTGGATCTAAGAAATTGCTTCCTAATCCAAGATCATGATGATTTACTGGGCTTCATGAGCAGGTACTGCAGGATGGAAGGATATAGGTAGGCAAAGGAAGGGAGATTCCAAGGAGGCCCAGTGCCTGGGCAAAGGTGCAGAAATCAGGCTCCTCCTGGGGCTCTGCGAGCCTGCCAGGCCCTTTCTAGGAAGTAGCTTGATGTGAGTTTGGAAAGGTCAGGTAAGCTCTTAGATACCAGGCTAAGAGCTGGGACTTGCTCCTGTCAGAATGTGATAGGAAGGGGGCAAGAATTGTGCATGTCATGGCAGCACCTGCCCTGGCCTTCAAGACCTATGGGGATGGCATAGTGAGGTCAGAGATATGAAGAGCTTTTGTCAGCAGCACAAGTTCAGCAGGAGCGTGATTCTGTGATCAAGAAGGGCTTAGTGAAGAATGTGAGGAACAGGGAGCTGGTTGATGGAGCTCAGAAGAGTACGTACTGTAGACCCCTGTCTAGAGGATTTGCCAAAAGGATCTCGGGCCCCTTTTCACCATGTTGGGCCTCAGACTATTGAAGGTACCAGGGGAAAGCACTCCTGAACTTTCCAGACCCTGCGGAGGGGGCACAGGTATCAAAGAATCCCTCCTGCAAGGAGGCTGTTCTTTTGTGAGACACCAGTGTAGAGCGGGCCAGTGAGGTTTGGGGCGTTTCATCTGTTACCTCACTAAGTGCTGAACACAGTGCTGAGGGGTAAGCACCATTTTACAGATGAGAACACAGAAGCCCAAGGTTGCAGATGTGGTACATAGCAGAACTGGGACCCTAAAGCCACATCTGGCCCCTGACGCTGGAGATGGGGGAACTGCTCAGCTAAGGTCCTCTGTCCCCCAGCCCTGACACACTGGATGTACGGCTGGGCTTCAACCTATGCCCCGAAGAGCTGGAATTTCTGGAAAAACGGAGGGTGGTGGTGGCCAAGGCGCTGAAGCAAGTGCTGCAGCTGGAGGAGGACCTGACCGAGGATGAGGTGGGTAAGCAGAGGAGCCGGCCTGGGCTCGGGTGCTCGGGGCCACGCTGGCTCTTGCAACCCCACACCCCACCAGCCACTCAGCCCTGCCCTGCCCTCAGCAGCCACAGCACTGCCTCTCTGCCACGGATGCTCCAGCTGCACCGGATATGACTCAGATACGTGCTCACCAGGGCAGGGGAGGCCAAGTACAAAGAGAAAGAAAGGGCTCCTGCTGCTGCTGTGTGCTGGATCTGAGTGACTGAGCCTGCGTTAACGGCTCAGGGGCCAAATGGCCTCCGTGCCCCAGCTGGAAAACATTTTAAGCTCTATCACCTGGTGCATCTCCCTACTCTACCCAAGAGGCCATAGGTCCTTCATCCTTCAACATCTCTTCCCTCAAATCTGTATACACAGACGGTAGGACAAGCGGCTTCCACTCCCAGGACCAACCGCTTCTTCCCACAGAGGTAGACAGGGCCCGGCACCACCTCCTTCATGGGCTCTGAGGACCACACTGCCCAGGGAGGCAGGCCTGGCCTCTGAATGCCACCTTCTAAGTCTGGCCTTAGTGCAGATGGAGACCACAGGGGGCAGAGGGCAACTTGTAAATGGGCTTCAGCCAACTGAAGGCTCTTATAGCTATTGCTAAATGAAAACAGAGTAAATTTTAGCCAAGAGCCCGCTTCTCCCTCCCATCTTTGGAGAGAAATACACTACGAGCATTTTAAACCTATGTCAACCCACAAGTGTCCCCCTGCCCTGCCCTCCCGCTCCTCCCCAGAGCAGAAGTTCACTCCTTCCTGCTATTAAAAATACAGTACTGAGCATGTGCCATGGATCAGCCCTGGGCCTGGTGTCCTAACCTCACATCCATCCATGGAAGACACGGGTTTGGCACTGTTGAGACCCCATCGCCCTGCCCTGTCCCCAGTTCTGTCATCTGTCACCTGAGGCCTGCAATGGGAATGATATGAACCCTTGGAGCCATGACTGCCCGTGACTCACCAGAGCCCTTCCCGACACCCCCACTGCTCTGTGAAGGACAGTTAATGCTGTTCCTCGCCCCTCCGCTCCCTGCTGTCTAGCCAGCCTTGTCCCTCCTGCTGTTCTATCTGACCTGCTGTCTATGCTTCTAAGTCCCCTCCTACCCAGCTCTCCCTCGAGCCCCGCCAGCAGTCTGCCTCCTCCGTGACCGCAGGTACCACTGATAGCCATCATGGCCACCGGGGGCGGAGCAAGGTCCATGACCTCCCTGTACGGCCACCTGCTGGGACTGCAGAAGCTGAACCTTCTGGACTGCAGCAGTTACATCACCGGCCTGTCTGGGTCCACCTGGTAAGGAGCTGGGAGCCACTGTCCAGTGGAGTCCACAGCAGGCAGCAAATGGCCTGCCTGGGGTCTCTGATGAGGTTCTGTCCCCTCCCAGCCCAAGCAAAAGGGACTCAGGACAGCGGGAAACTTAACATTTGGAGGCTCAGTGTCTAAATCTGCAAAGTGGGGATAACTAGCACTGACCACTTGGGAGTGCAGCGAGACCTTGAGAGGCTCGCAGAGTTCTAAGAACACAAAGCCAGCGTGTACATGCCATTACTGGCGGCACCATGGCAGGGACCCAGGAACATGGCAGCCCATGAGTGAACTCCTGGTGCCACTGACCCCATCCTGCTAGGACAATGTGGCTGCCCTCTCTCAGGGCTGTGCAAGTCTCCCGTGGTGGAGAGCTGACCCCCAACGCTGTGGCTTCCCCTCCCGCAGGCCCCCCTGTCCTATACCCTGTCCACTCCCCTGCCCTGTCCAGTTGCCTCCCACAGCATGAGGAGAGCAGGCAGGACCTCATGAGGACACCCCCTCCACACTCTGGTGGGGACCAAGGGGAGAGAGTGTAGGCTCCTGATAAGATTCCTGATAGGGCTCATGATAGATAAAAATGTCTTATGACTTTTTAAATCAGAAAAAAATCGACATCTAGGTTAAAGAAAATGTTGTTTTTTGGCTTTTGGTTTTTTGAGACAAGGTCTTGCTATGTAAGTCCAAGCAGGCCTTGAACTCACTCTGTAGCCCAGGCTGGCCTTAAACTCAAGGTGATCCTCCTGCCTCAGCCTCCCAAGTGCTGGGATTACAGGTGTGCACTATCATACCTGGCAAGAAATGTTTCAATAACATAAATATATTTGTCTTAATGTAACAGAATTATCTAACAGAATATTTTTCTGGTGGACGGGAACCACCAAGGTCATCACGTAGCTCTGGTTTTGGATGGCTGGGGATCTGGGACCACCCCAGGCCTCTCAGCCAGGGCTGCATCTACTGTGCCAGTGACTGGTAGGCCTGGGAGCCCTGGTCTCTTACTGTCCCTTTTACCCCAGAAGAGCTCTCGGTGCCTCTCATTTGAACAAGCAAATGTGAACTGGCCCTGGAAAATTGTCAGGGCCTGGAGGCTTCAGCCCAGATGGGATGGAAGCAAGGGCTGGTAGTTGTTGGTGTGGCCTTTATGCTGAGCATGGATGTCTCTCAGTATCAGAGGGGACTTCATTTCGGAGCCTACCCCTCCAAGATACCAAAACCCACTGATGCTCCAGAGCTTTATATAAAATGGCTAGTGTTTACTCGTAACCTACATGCTCCTGCTGTGTACCTGAAACATCTCTAGATTGCTTGTAATACCAAATACAGTGCAAGCACTATGTGAGCAATCGTATGTATGGAGTTGTTATGCTGTCTTATTTAGGAAGCAATAACAAGAAAGGAAAAGCCATACAACGAGTTCAGTACAGAGGCAATTTTTTTTTCAAATATTGTGGTCCATGGTTTGTTAAACATGCAGATGAGGAACCAGAGGATAAGGAAGGCCAACTAAATTTTCCCAGCATGATTGTACAGCTGGAGGAATGCAGTAATTTGCCGAGGGCCACTCAGCTAATGAGCGCAGCGAGGAGTTGGAACCTATTTCAGGGTCCCTGTTCTTTATGCGAGAAGCGACTCCAGATAGTAGGCCATAGGATAACTCACCTCCTCCAAGGTCAAGGGATATCTGCCCCCACCTGCTGCTGTGGGGTAAACAGGAAATGGGGAGGCAGGAGATAGGGAGGACCTCGGGCCCAACCAGGGAGGGTCAGAGGCTAGAGGGGCCCTGACCTGGGGAAAGAATGGGAAATATTCTTTCTTTTTTAAAAAATATTTTTTTTTCAGTGCTGAGGATTGAATCCTTTCCACTGAGCTACATCACCAGTCCTTTTTATTTTTTATTTTGAGACAGGGTCCGGCTAAGTTGTGAAGTAGCCTAGGCTGCGCTCAAACTTGTGGTCCTCCTGCCTCAGGTTCCCCGAGTACAAGGATGACAGGTGTGTGTCACTATGTCTGGCTGGGAGATATTCTTTTGAAAACAACCATTAATAACGGTTTTTGAAAGTATAAAAGTAACAAAGTAGCCTGGACATGGTGGTGTACACCTATAATCCCAGCACTCAGGAAGCTGAGGCAGGAAGATTGCCACGAGTTCAAGGCCAGCCTGGGCTACATAGCAAGACCCTGTCTCAAAAAGAAAAAAAAAAAGGTAACACCGTGAACCTTATGGAAAGTGGAGTGTTTTTTGTCCATGAAATTGGACCAAATCCCATTTTCCCTAGACCAAGTCCTGTGAAAGAAGAAGCCACTGCTCATACAACTGCAACCCAGCAAGCTCTACGCCATGGGTCACTTTCAGTGCAAAATAAAGAGAGGCCCTTCCCTGCCCTGCCTTAGACAACAGGGGGCCAGCCCAAGAAGAGACAGACAGAGGCTAGGCCCAGGCTGGGGTACAGGACAGAGAGTATCACTATCATGGTTTTGCTGCCCCTCATGGTCTACATGTAAGTTCAAAAGAAAAAAGAGAAATAAAGCTTTAGCCAGTATCATAAATATGGGAATGAACACTCAGCAGAGAGAGCTCGGGACTGGGACAGACCACACCTGGGCTTGCAGGTGGCCTCAGCATTTGCTCGGCGCCAGCCACTGTTTCAAAGCTTTCCCCTGTGACACCTCAAGTGATCATTACAAGAACTCTGATCAGAGTCCCCCTCACTCCACAGACAGGGAAACTGAGGTGAAGAGTGGTTACGTTGCTAGGCCAAGATCACACAGCAAGTGAGTGGCTGGGCCAGGTTTGCCCCTAAGAAGACCTGGGTCTGGAATCTTCATCATAACCGATGTGCTGGGCCCAGCACACAGTGGGCACTGGAGAAATAGTAGATTGCAATTATGAGTAATCAGGTTCACCTCCCTCCCACACTAGGCCCCATCTTACCTCTTTCCCCAGGCTCCTCTCACAGGTTTAGGGCTCCCCATGACTTGCCCACGTTCTCACCTGCCTGGACCCAGCGTTGATCAGACCAGGGCTGAGTCAGCTCTATCAGCCATACCTGTCTCTCCAGGACTATGGCTACCTTATACCGTGACCCTGAATGGTCCTCCAAAAACCTGGAGCCTGCTATCTTCGAGGCCCGGAGACATGCCGTCAAAGACAAGATGCCCTCCCTCTTCCCAGATCAGCTCTACAAATTCAAGGAGCAACTCCGCCAGCGCAGCCAGGAAGGCTACAAGGTCACCTTCACAGACTTCTGGGGCCTGCTGATTGAGTCCTGTCTGGGGGATGAGGTAGGCATTCACTTTCTCCAGGCATTCACTCTCCTTTCTCCATCAGAGGTCGCCACAGAGGTTGGGTTCACCTGCCGCTGCATCCTTGGACTGTATGAACCATAAGGTTCTGGATGCATAATGGCGGAAGGTGGTTCAGTGGTCTTCTCACATTCCCATTAGAGGATGACTGGGATTTGTGTTGGAGGCAGCTTAGGTGCACCCCAATATATGGGCAGCACATTGTCCTAAAGCCACAGCAAGACACCTGTGAGAGAAGATGGGGAAGGAGGAGGAAGGAGAGCTGTCAACCGTGATGCAAGTCGGACCCTAAGTGGAGGCTTGAGGAAACAAGGTCAGATGGAAGCATCCACGGCTGGAGGCAGTCTAGGAAGGCTCCACACGGCCCTTGGAGGGTCCCTTGCCACAGCCAGCTATGAGTGGTGTCCTCGGTCTCCTGAATGGGCCTGCTCAGCACTGCTGCTGCGCTCAAAGGATGTATGGCCTCAGAGTGCAGCAGCTGGGGCCCTTTGTAACTCTCTCGGCAGTTAGAGTTGTGCATGGTGCTCTCTCCTGGCCACTATGCAGGAAATCTGTCCAGTCAGGTTCTTTCCTTCTAAGAACCAAGGAGCTATGTCTGCCCCAGAAGACAGCCAGCCTGTGCTGGCAGAGCTGTGTGGGATGTGGTGGAGCAGGGGGTCCTCCAGTGACCTTGTGATCTTGGACATCAGGGGTGGGCTTGACTAACACCTGGACCCTTCAGGCCACAGAGGCCCACGGGGGAACGAGCTTTGGCTATTGCTCAGCCGCGAAGCAGAGCTGTCCTCCTGACCTGTATCCGGGCCTGCGGCTCGCAACCCCACTCCCAAATGTGCCTGGGAGTTCTGCATTCAAAGCAGAACTTGCCAGAAGAGGGAGGGGCAGCAGATTATCTTTTAGTACGTCCCCTGTTCTAGAGAATCAGACAATTTGAGCAACCAAAGATGACTTCACCATCATCATCAGTATTCACTCATCGTCAGTATTCACTCATCTCTTCCTTCAATCCTTTGACTAAATTAGTCACTTGCTGTGTGCCAGGACCTGAGCTTGCTACTGGTGATTCAGATGTAGCTGGTAACCCATGTGGGCTGAGCATTTTGAGGGTTTATTGTGGAGAAGAGCCAGGAAGCGAGCTCGAATGCTGTTGGGAGGCCTCTGTCTTCTACTCCGCCAAAGCAGGAGCCATTATCTCTTGCCCTTGGCAGTGACAGGGGACTGGATTCCCCTGAATCTGTGGCTTTACTTTCAGCACAGTGGGCTCCGTTGTGTCTAGCTAGTTCCTTCTTTCAAAGGAGGCCCCCAAATCATTGGGCCACACTGTGTTTGTCTGCTGGTGGGTGACCCAGGGAGGTAGGAACGTTCTCCGGGAGCATTGTAAGAACATGCTTGATTGGTGTCTATGGCCCACACAGCAACCCGGGCTCGAAAATGTCTGCTGAGGTCCCTGTGGTCCTCCCACCCTGCATACTGTCTCCTGCACGGGGCGAGGTCTTCTGCCTGCTGCTTCCCCTTAACCAATTCCTTTCCCCACAGAGTAGTGACTGCAAATTGTCAGACCAGCGTGCCGCTGTGTGCCGGGGCCAGAACCCCCTGCCCATCTACCTCACCATCAATGTCAAGGATGATGTAAGCAACCAGGATTTCAGAGGTAACACTGGAGGCCAGTGACTTAGGCAGGGGCCCTTTCTGGGCGGGCAGAGGCACTCAGCACCTCCAGGTCTCCCCACACACTCTCTGCCAACCTCCACATCAGAAAACTGAAGAAATCAATTTTGCTTCCCCAGTCTGCTCCACCCCAGGGTTGGGTCTCTGCTTGTGGGTGCATTTGATGGGGGCAAACTTCAAGGTTGTGAAAGGAAGGAGTTCTTAATATTTCTTAAGCTGTCTAGAGAAGGGCTGGGAACACCGCCCCTGCATCAGGGGTCAGCTTGGCCCCCATTTAATTTATCTGGCTTTGAAGAGCCAAAGCACCCAGCAGCTTGCAAAGCTGTTTTGTCAGTTTGCGGAAGCTGGCCGCAGGCGCCCCTTGTGTCCGCTGTGGGAACTGCAGCTTCCCTATCCCAAGTGCCCCAAGGTGGATGGGGTTGGGGGAGGGTGTCCATCAGCTGCTGAACTGTGTACCCCTGGCTCCCTGGCCTGGGGCTAACGCCCTGCCCTGCTGCTCCCTGCTGCAGAGTGGTGCGAGTTCTCCCCCTACGAGGTGGGCATGCAGAAGTACGGGGCCTTCATCCCCACCGAGCTCTTCGGCTCTGAGTTCTTCATGGGACGGCTGATGAAGAGGATCCCTGAGTCGCGAATGTGCTACATGCTAGGTGACTCTGGCTGCGGAGGCCCTTTGGGAACCCCGCCCCTTGCCGAGGAAGCCCTAACTTTATATTAGAGGAGTGCAGGAAGGCTCTTGTCCCCGTGCTGGCCCGCCGGGGTTAGCCTTTGAGCGCGTGACTTTCTGGCACTCCAGCACTACCTTATCCAAGGAACCTGCCAGCCTCCAAAGCTGCCTTAATCTCGCTGTGGCCTTCTTGGCCCAGAAAGGCCTGACATGACACATACACCAGTCACTGGGGATCCTAGGGACCCTCCCAGCGGCTTGGTCTCCAGTGGTCTCCCTGGAGCAGGCTGAGACAGAAGCCTCTGTAACTCCCACTCCCTACCCATGGCTCCAGGCAGCGGTGTGCCTGCTTCCGGTGCCAACTCAGCCCCTGGGCAGAAGGGACCACGGGATAAAGGGCAGAGTCCCTGGGGAAGCCCAGCCAGCTCCCCACCCTGGGCTCCCTAGTCCTTCCCAAGCCAGGGCCACTGAGTACAGGGGCAACTGTGATGTCCACACCCAGTTCTTCCCTTCAGCGGCTCAACTGCATCTGCCAAAGGGTGACCTCAGAACACAGACCATCTTTACAGCCTCAGTAACAGTTACACCCTTTATTTAAACTCCTTCCTTCTATCCCAGTCCAACCCATTTCACAAGGCCCAGCTCAGGTCCCATCTGTTTTGTGAAACCTACCCAGAAGCCCCCATCCCACAGTGGCCTCTCCATCTACCGAACACCTATGTTAGTGGCCATATGGTTCTGAAAACTGTAGTTCATGCACTTGAGTTTGAACTCTGGTTCTTCATTTATTAGTTGTGTGAAGTTGCCTAAGTTACTTAACATCTCTGAGCCTCAGTTTTCTCATCTGTGCATTAGACTTAAAAGTACCACCTACCTTGGAGAGGATCCCAATGGGTCAGTAAATGTGAGAAAGTTAATGAATATTATTATTATTAATGTTACACTTTGGAACTAATGAGATGACATTGCATGTATCAAAGCTTCACCATATGCCAGGCACTGCCCTAAACACTTTAGCTCTATGAACTAATGCAAGGGGTAGCTCTGGACTGGAAATCAAAGCCTACACTTGTCGTATGAAGCCCCCTCAGGGATGGGCCTTGTCTACCTTCACATCTGCTCCCTGCACTGAGGGGTGGGGACGGGCCGAGGGCCAGTGCCATGGGAGCTGCCCATGGGAGAAGGGAGTCCAAGGCCCCCGACCCCTGAGCACCTGGGCAGGAGTGGCACAGGTGAGGCAGAAGCTGCCAGGTTCGTGGGGCCCCAGGCTCTGGGGAGGACTGCTCAATGGCTCTGCGCCCTAGGTTTGTGGAGCAGCATCTTCTCCCTGAACCTGCTCGATGCCTGGAATCTGTGCAATACCTCCGAGGAGTTTTTCCACAGATGGACGAGGGAGACGATACATGACATCGGTGAGTGACCCACGGCTTTCCGTCGTGGTGGACTAATAGGCAGTACGGGGCACGAACACAGGACCTGCCGTGTGTGTCCACACTGTCCTGTGGCCCACAGACACGGAAGGCACCGGGGGCAGGGGAGGAGGTGTCCAGGTGAGCCTGTGCCAAGGCCCAAGAGTCCAGGACACCACTGGTGCCCGGGACAGTGGGTGAGGGTAGGAGCCTGTGAGTGCAGTTGAAGCTCTGTCTTCTGGCCTTGCCGTCCTCTCTGGGACCTCTGCATCTCCACTGCTGGCCCCTGGCCTGTGCCTCTGACCTGGGTCCCCTGGCGCCAGGGCCAAGCCCTGGAGAGCGAGGCAAGGAAGGTGCGAGCTGTACTTACGGACCCTTCTGGGGGCAGGCAGTCAGCTGGTGGCTCACCTGGGTGATCTGGGGCCCCCAACTCATATGACCTGCCCTCTATCCCCTCCCTGCAGTAGATGAGCCACTCCTGCCTGAAATCCCCAAATGTAATACTAACGTCCTGGAGACCTCAGTAGTGACCCCAGCATCCCGGCTGTCCAATACTTTCCGAGAGATCCTCACCTACCGGTCCTTCGTGTCTGAGTTCCACAACTTTATGTATGGGCTGCACCTGCACACTGACTATCTCCAGAACAGCCAGTTCCAGAAGTGGAAAGGTACCCATGGGCGCCCCTAGGACCCAGATCTGTTGGGAGGAGAGCAGCGGAGTCCTAGTTGCCTCGGAGAAAGGGGAGTGGACAACTCTGGCCATGTTCCCCTAACGTTTGGCCATGAATGGATTATGGATGTACCAGCAGGGTGCGCTGTGGGATTGTACACCACAATCCAGCAGTGGCCTGCTCCTACAGACCAGAAACAGTTCTTTTTCTGCAGTTGTGCTGGGGGACAGGGTGTTAAAGCATTGTCCCCGAAGTTGGGCAAGGGTGACCGAGTGCAGGAATCCCTGGGGAGGGAGTAGCCGTGCCAGGTCTTCAACCATTCTCCCCTATTACCATTCATCACCTCCTCCTGCTAAGACTCGAAGACTGGCTTCCCACCCTTTTTGATATTTTATTTCGCTATGGCCTGCAAAGGCTGCTGAGTCCTACTTGTTAACCCTTGTCCTCATGGTGCAGGGCAGAAGGGCAATAGGCTTCAGGCCCTGGGTAGCCCTAGTTTGCAGGATGGTCTAAGCCCCTATAATCCTACAAGCTCTGTGGCTGGGTCGGAGGGGGGTTTCTGTGTATAACCCATAAAGCACTTGCTAAAATCCCAAGAGCGTGTTGTTATCACCGTCCCACCCAGAGGAACTGTGGGGCTCAGAAGTGTCTCAGTCAGAACGGGGAAGGCTGGGGTACGGTGGTCCGTGCCTGAAATCCCAGCACACAGCACTCTGAGAGGCTGAGGTAGGAGAATCACAAATTTGATTCTAGCCTAGGCAACTTAGCAAGACCCTCTCTTAAAAAATTTTTTTTAAAAATCTTTTTAATGGGCTGGGGATGTAGCTTAGTGCAAAGGCGCTGGGTTCAGTCCCCAGAATCACAAAAGAGGTGGAGGGGGAGAGAAGAAAATAAAAAGAAGAAAAAGAAAAGGAGAGAGAGAACAGACGAAACCAGAAGGGAAGCTGGGGTTGTGGGCCAGTGGCCCAGGCTGGGGGACGGAAGCGCCAGGCAGGGCACTCACCGCAACAGGTGCCTTGGAGCGTGGCACCCTGATAACAGGAAATCTTGGCTTTTAGACACAGTGCTGGACACCTTTCCAAACCAGCTGACAGAGTTTGCAAAACACTTGTACCTGCTGGACACGGCATTCTTCGTCAACTCCAGCTGTGCACCCCTCCTCCGGCAGGAGAGAAAAGCCGACCTCATCATCCACCTCAATTACTGTGCAGGGTCCCAGACAAAGGTGAGTGCTAGGAGCAAGGTTCCATTCTGAGCACAGGTGCAACCAAGGTCACAGCCCTGGTGGCCTCAGTGGCTGTTGGGGGGGAACTGGCCCTCTCAGTGGCTCTGAGGCTTAGCATGGGACGAGCTCAGCTCATAGGGCACGGCGCAAAGCTGGAGGGACAAACGTCGGGGCAGCCATGAGGCTATCACACACAGTGGGGCCTGGGGGAGACATAAGTTCACTTAGCAAATATCAGTTTTATTCTTTCTTTGAGCATTGACCATACTTAGCCACCAGTTTAAAAAATATTTTAAAACACCTTTATAAGCCAAGTGCAGTGACACACACCCATAGTCCCAGCACTCTGGAAAGGTAAGGCAAGAGGATTGCAAGTTTCAGTCCAACTTGGGCAATTTAGTGACTTAGTGACACCGTTTTAAGATAAAAAAAAAAGGGCTGGTGATGTAGCTCAGTGCAAAGGCCCTGGGTTCTATCCCCCGTACTGAGGCCAGGGGACTTAATAGAACTTAGTTCACTCTAAAGTTTTATATTAGCCAGGGATATAGCTCAGTGGCACAGTGCTTGCCTGGCAAGTGCAAGGTCCTGAGTTCAATTCCCAGTACCAAATAAAATAAAGTTTTATACCACTTAAAGAGCTTAGAATGTCATGCTTTCAAAATAATCATACTGGACCCTCCTTCCCCAGGGACAATAGTCCTCTGTGTAGTTACCCTGAAGAGCCAGGACCAGAGAGGTCTGTATTTACTTTTGAGAAGTTCTGGCCCTCTCAAGAAAAGACACTGGCTTTGGTCTACTTTGATCCAGTCCTATCCCAAAGCCAGGGAACAGGAAATACAGATAAATGATCAAGGTGACAGCAATGATTGTGACCTAAATTTATAAATAAGTAACAATGTACTTTCCTACACACGGGTCTCGCCTGGTCCTGACTCTGGTTCTTTTTTTTTTTTTTTTGTCTTTTTAAGACAGAGTCTCACTATGCAGTTCAGGCTAGACTTGAACTCACTTTGTAGCACAGCCTGGCCTCAAAGTCACAGCGATCCTCCCACCTCAGCCTCCCAAGTGCTGGGATTATAGGCGTGTGCCACCACACCCAGCTCTGGTCACTGTTGCCCCACAGGCTACCATACACATCTACACAGGTCTCTGTGTAGGTGAGTGGCCAGGGATCTTCTCTCTACTTCACCTGGAGAAGGAGCTAGCAGGTGGGCTCACACGAACCCACTGCCTGAGGCTTCTTACTCTGACCTGGTAAAAATATCACAAACTGTCAGAGCAGTTAAGAACATAGTTATTAGGAAGCTAGGTCCAAGAATTCCATCTCTTAGCCCACCCTTAGCCCTCTAGTCCTCAAACCTTTCCCTTGTGATGTTCCAGCCCATGAAACAGACCTGTGAGTACTGCACCGTGCAGGGCATCCCTTTCCCCAGCTATGACATCCAGGATGATGACGAAAGCCTCCAGGAGTGCTACCTGATGGAGCAGCCCCAGGATCCTGATGTCCCCATTGTGACTTTCTTCCCGCTCATCAGTGACACCTTCCAGAAGTACAAGGCACCAGGTGAGCTGCCTCCTCATTGTCCCCAGTCCCCTCCAGCCCCCGACTGAGAGTGCCTGCTTTAGACTTGTGGAAGCCCCCATCACACAGTGGAAAGTGGAAAGCCACACTTCACTGCATTTGGAGCCATCTTGGCTTTGGCCAGGAAGAAGAGAGCCCCGCCCACACCACCCACTCTATTTAGTCATTCAACATTTCCTGACACCCAGCTATGTGCCTGGAACTGATTGGTGCTGGAGCAAACCCAAAATGGGAAAGCTGTTCCCTGCCCTGAGGTGTGTGCGCGCACACATGTGTGTATGTCTGTGTGTGCGCACACGTGTGCAAGTATATGAGTGTGTGTACATCTGCGTGCAAGTGTCCATCCATGCAGGGTGGCAAGGAGTCTGCAGCCTGACATAATAAGGGTCCACAACAAGTCTTTCTGTTACCCCAGGTGTGGAGCGGAGCCCCGAGGAGATGGAGCTGGGCCAAGTTGACATTTATGGCCCCAAATCTCCCTACGCCACCAAGGAGCTGACATACACAGAGGCTGCCTTTGACAAGCTGGTGAAGCTCTCGGAGTACAACATCCTGAATAACAAAGACAAGCTCCTCCAGGCCCTGCGCCTGGCGGTGGAGAAGAAGAAACGCCTGAAGAGCCAGTGTCCTTCCTAGGCCCAGGGAGCCCCACCCGTCCTGCGTCTACTGCTGTCAGAGCTGCAGCCATCGCAGGCCACGCCACCAGCCCTGCTCTCTGCTCAGGAAGGCAGGCAGGTGGCCTGGGCTTTCCACCCAAAAACATCATGAGAAGGGAGAAAGGAGCCATACTGGGGTTTTATACCTGTGGGATTTCTTTCCCTACTTCCCTACCGGGAAGAGTGATGGCCATGGGCTCCCAACGTTCTCCTCAAGCACAGAGAGAAGTGTGGCCTGAGAGAGGGGCTGGTTCCCAAGAACCTCAGGCTCGGAGCCCTCTCCTCCCTCTCCCTCCTCCCACAGTGAGCCTAGGGGATGCTCAGGAGGAGTGAGAAAGACTCCTAGTTTCTCTGCAAAAATGCTTTTCAAATTTTAAGGTAATTGCATCTTATATTTATCATCAAAATACTTTATGATTTTGAATTTTATGAATCAGGGTATTAGTAGGAAGCCGGATGCTAGGAGACCTAGATGGAGAACTAGGGATATCCTAGTGTCTGCACCAACAAAGCCAAACCAGTCACCCATGGCACCTGCCCAGAACCAGGGGCTGCTGACGCCTGCAATCCCAACCAGGCAGCCACGCTGAGCACCCAGTGCCAACAAAACGCCAAGCGAAGTGTGGGCTCCCAGAGTGGGGATCTAGGCTGGGGATCTGGGCAGGCTACAAAAGACGGCCTCAGGTGAGCAGAGTGCCCAGTGCTGCCCACACACCTCTCATCTCTCTCACTGCCCTGGCCGCCTGGTTTACAGGTGAGATTATTTATTTCTAAGTGTGATCCCAAAGCCAGTATACTCCAGCCCTTGGAGAACGAAGGGAGGAAGGAGCAAGTTGGACAGGCCAGGGCAGCCCTCCCAGAAAGAACTACTCCTCCCTGCCCTGCTCAGAGATGGCTTCCCACCAAATCCTGGGAAACCATGGGACGCAGAGAAGCCCAGTCATTGTGACCGGGTCTCCCTGCGGGTCAGGGACTTAAATGAAGAAAGGTGTCACCTGAGCCACTGATGTGCCCTGGCTGATGGGCACAGAAGGACAGAAAGGCACGTGGTCTGGGCAGAGCCCGGCAAGCCGTGTGGGGCCACTCTCCTCCCTAAGCAGTTCTTTGTTGTTGGGAAATGAATGGGGACAGGTACTCCAAACTTAGAAAAAGTGGGCTGTCATTTACATCCCTGCTGCTCAGGGTGTGGTGGGGAGCTGGTTAGAAATGCAGATGTGCAGGGACTGCGCAGCCACCCTGAATGGAACTGCACTGTAAAGAGACTCAGGCCTCCTTTCCCATGCCACCCCACCCTTGTGTGGTTCCTGTGTGAGTTAAAGTTGGAAAGGAAGCCGAGCTACCAGCGTAGTGGCACAGCCTGTAATCCCAGTGTTACTGCGAGATGGGCAGGGATAGTCCAGGCCCTTGTGTACAATGAGCAATGCATTTGCAAGCATACACTAAGTGAAAAGCAGCCGCATTTACTGAAGATCACAAGAAACTGTGCTCAGGGCAAGTCTATGCCAAGGAAAGACATGGCACAGACAGAAAGTGGTGCCAGGGTGAGAGGAAAGTAAAAACACTGCGCACAAAACACAGCACACAGCAACAGCCACTGATAAATCAGGCTTTCAGAATTTAAAGGTCTGCACCTCAGCCCAGCTGCCTCCCCTCAGTCTCTAGGTGTGATGGACAGGCATGATTGAGACCGTGCTGTGTTATCTCAGGGGCTCTCAGCACACATGCTTGTCCCAGAATTCACTTTGATCTTTTTTTTTTTTTTTTTCACTTTGATCTTAATTACATGCATGGATGAAGTACATATTTATGAACCCTTAATGAGGTAGGGTGAAGATGACTAAATGTCAGGCTAGGAGATGCAACACACGTGTTCTTGTCTAGGGCATCAAAGATCTCCTGAGTTCTTGTGTGATTCGCTACCTCTGGTAAGACAATGGAAGGAGGAATGGCCAGGGTGCTGTTCAAAATTAAATGGATGGAAGGAAGTGACTTCCTCAGCTCCATTGTTTCTAAGGGTACTACCAGCCTCTGGAGGGCTGATGCAGGAGGACAGCAAGCTGGAGCGAAGCCCGGGCAATTTAGGAACTTAGATTCTATCTCAAAATAAAAAAGGGCTGGGTGTGTAGCTCAGTGCAAAAGCCCTGGGTTCAGTTCCTAATGACACAAAAGAGGAAAGAGCACAGGAAGGAAGGGAAGTGAAGGGGAAAGAGTTAGAAAGCAGTGGACTTACACCACTGTCCCCTACAAGCTTGGACACCATAACTCCTTCGACTCTCTTGAGGCACCGGGAAGCTGGTGCCTCAAGGATCAGGACCCGCAACACCAGTCTCCACCTGAGACCTAATCCGTGTATCACCCCTCTCCCCTCTGCCAGGGCAGCCCTACCCCACTCTGCCCTCCCAGCTGCAAGCATGGGGTTCCCTAACTTCAGAGCAAGCAGGCACAGGCCTGTCTGCTTTGAGGGAAAGGTGGTCCTGCCTTGGGTCCATCACAGTGTGAAGTGAAATGTGTACCATCATTTTACTATTTGAGCACAGAATAAAATGGCCATGTGATTGTGGATTCATTTGCTTTCATGATCTGATGCTATGAAGCACCCATCACTCTTGCCCTTCTCCCTGCCCTAGCTTCCTGGGTCCCTTCCTTCTTCCCCCAGAGTTCCTCTCACCACTGGGGGAGGCCAGAGTGGTCCCTTTCTAAGCCATGCCTTCTCTGAAGGCTTTGCTTTCTCCCACCCCTTCTTATGGTGAGGACTCCTCTTGTTCTTGCTTTTGGTTTCGCTTGTTTTTTTATACTGGGGCTTGAACCCAGGGCCTTTGCACTAAACTACATCCTTAGCCCTTTTTATTTATTCATTTCTTTATTTTTATTTTGAGACAAGTTCTCACTAAGTCACTAAGTTGTCCAGGCTGGACTCAAACTTCCAATCTTCCTGCCTCAGCCTCTAGAAATTGTTGGGATTGCATGCATGTGCCACTGTGCTCAGCTTCCGCTCCTGTTTTTATGAAGCCATGTCACTCACACATGGAGCGACATCCCACGCTGACCCCGGCTGCTTCCAGCTCACATGTTTTTCAGGAAACACTGATTGGGAGGAAGGAAAGGCAGTTGGCATCGGTAGAGCCCCTACTTAGCGCACAGTGGCTGTAAACAGTCTGTTCCAGGAATTTAGATTCTGATTGTGGGGAATGGAGAGATGTTAATACATACGTGAGAAGTTAAGCAGTGCGTTAGTCAGCCAAATGATGAAAGTGTCATCCCCTCCAACAGAATAGAGGCCAGGAGTGGCTCCCTCTCAGGTCCCCGGCCCTCTGCCTAGGAGCATGATTAGCTAGAAAAGAAGTAAAATCCCCTGGCTCCCAAGTACCCCTCTGTCCCAGTCTCTCCCTCTCCTTCCCAAGAGAGGAACCAGGGCTGGGGATTTAGCTCAGCGGCAAAAGCGCTTGCCTGGCAAGCGCAAGGTCGTGAGTTCGGTTCCTGGTACCGGAGAAAAACCAAAAAAAAAAAAGACCCTGTCCCAAGAGAGGAACCAGCACCCACCACCACCAGTCACCTAGACCTGCAGATGGCTCCCTCCTCCCTCAGGCCCTCCCTTCCTGTGACTTCCTTGCCAACCACGCCTCAGTTCAGTCCAGCTTACAAATAGTTACTGCCTGCCAGCCACGGTTGTAGGCACGGGGACGATGAAAAGCATCAGCAAGTGACTCCACACTGCCCATAGCTTCCTTCTGGTCCCATGTGGGAGTCACCCAAGGACAATGAGTTTCACAATGCAAAGACAAAAGCTCGCAGCAGGGGTTGGGAAGCTAGCTGGACACTTTCCGCACTGAACTTCTGCCCGCTAAAAGGAGGAAGCCTCTCCTCCAGCTGCTCCTCCCCTGCTGTCCTTTAACAGCTGGATTCCTCTCTCTCTCCTCCCTTGAGCAGTCTCATCTCTACCCGGATTTCAACTAATGCTTCTGTTTTGAAAACTCTCAACCTTTTAGCTCTAGCCACATGTATCCAAACTCACATACTCAAATGCTATACCTGTGTGCATTAATTTTACAATATAACTTAAAGATCTAAAATTATGATGGTTCTTGACCTCATGGTCCAGGATGAGCTCTGGAGCTCCAACTATCACACCCATATTTCAGGACACAACAAGGAAGAAGGAAAAGAAGATGAAACTGTCTTCCTCTGAAGTAGACTTCCTGAAAGTCCCACATGTCCGTTAGCTAACATACCACCAAACCAAACCCAGTATCATTAACATAGTGATAGAGGAAAACTGTATCTCCCGACCACTCAGATGTCAAATGTGTGAGTTTGTGGTCTCACAACATTGAGGAAGTCATGAACCGAAGGAGGAAGTTAGAGTTTTATTGGAAATAAAAGGAAGAAGAATAGCTCCTGGATTTGTAGGAGGGGCCTCAAGTGGGTAGCCACTAAGGCTTTCGGTCAGGGGTAATTTATACAGCAAAGTCACAATGTGGGTACTATCATCACCCTGCACAATTACAAGTACAGCCATTTAGCTAATA